CCATGATACTACTAAAAAAAAATTATCAATATGCTCTATTTTCAAAAATATTTTTTCAAATACTACAAATTTTAAAACTTGGCTTCAATGGCATTGAGTTCCAATTTTTTTTTTTATACATAACAGTACAGAACTTGGCTTTTATCAAGCCAAGTTCCATATGATTTTTTTTTTTTAAGAAAAGTATAGAACTTGGCTTCTATCAAACCAAGTTTTGTACTTATATTTAAATAAAAGAATAAAAAAGTGATGTGATATGTGTGGCAGGTTATGTCTATTATAACTCTACTTCAATATATGATTGTACTCTATAATTTTTCTTCCCTTTCTCCCTTGTCACTAAAGCCGATAATTTGGGCAAAGGCCGACAAGTTAACATGAACCTGTCCAAAAAATTTTAGGGCCGAGCTTGAAAAAAATATAGTTTTTTTTTATGTTCTTGCCTATTAGCCCAAATACCTGAATAAAAAAATTTATTTTTAAAATATATAAAATATAATTAAATATTAATTAATTTTTTAAGTTTTAGGTTATTTTATACTAAAATATTATATATTTGAGTTCTATACATCACTTAAGCATCAAAAAAATATATTTTATATTTTTATAAAATAAAAAACATTATTAAGTACACCCATAATTAAGAATATTATTCTATTTTTATTTATAAATAACTCCTAACATTTTCATCAAACTCAAGAAAAAAACTTACAAATCTCATTAGTTTTAAGGCAATTAAGATATTTACTTCCTTTGTTTTTGAAAACTTGTGGTATAGTCTTGCACTGCCTTCTTTTGGTGTTTACGTGGGCGTTGCACTACCGGAGGCTTCCTTTCATATTCAGCACTACTTGCATGGGCCGAAAGAGAGCTAAGACTTCCTAAAAAAAATTAATTAAATACTCAAACAATAAAATTTAAAATAATTAAGATATTTCGCTCAAATACCCGAACAATAAAATATAATTAAATATCAATTAATCATCTTAAAATTAATGAGGTTTGTAAGTTTTTTTTCCTTGATTTTGATCAAAATGTTAGGAGGGATTTATAAATAGAAATAAAATAATACTCTTAATTATGGGTGTAATTAATAATATTTTTTATTTTATAAAAAATATAAAATATATTTTTTAATACTTAAATAATGTATAGTACTCAAATATATAGTATTTGTATAAAATAACCTAAAACTTAAAAATTAATTAATATTTAATTATATTTTATATATTTAAAAAATATAATTTTTTTATTATAGTATTTGGACTAATAGACACGAACAAAAAAAACTATATTTTTTTCAAGCCCGATCTTAAATTTTTTAGGTGGGTTCAGGTTGACATGTCTCGAATTACCGGCTTTAGTGATAAGAGAGAAAGAGAAGAGAAATTATGAAATACAATCATATATTGAGATGGAGTCATAATAAACATAAAATATAATTTACCATACATGTCACATCAATTTTTTATTTTTTTATTTAAATATAAGTAGAGAACTTGGCTTGATAGAAGCCAAATTCTATACTTTTTCGAGGAAAAAAAATTTGTACAAAACTTGGCTTGGTAGAAGCCAAGTTCTGTACTGCTGCGCATAAAAAAAAAAAAATGAAACTTGGTGCCATTGAAGCCATGTTTTAAAATTTGTAGTATTTGAAAAAATATTTTTAAAAATATAGCATAGTGGTAAATAATTTTTGTTGCTGTAGTATCATGGTCGAATTGCCTTGTTTCTGCGTTTACATAAATCTGAGGAAGTAGTCCAAGTACAAGCAGATGTGAGAAATTTGATATGTCCTTAAAAAATTCCTTATTATTTGATGCGGGATTAGAAGTTTCCCCTTGTGTAAGGCTTGATTCCTTCTCATCCATATGAAGTGTAGAAAGGAGAAAATTTCCTCAATCATGAAAAGATCATTGCCTCTCTATAATTTATCCAAAACTCTTAGAAACTGGTGAATCAAACATTGATAATAAATTTCTTCTAAACAAATTCTCAGAAAGCCAAACCAAACAACTATAACAAAAAGACATTCACAAAATGTATGAAGCAAGGAGTCTTGTAAGTCACATCCAAAAGGACACATAATTGAGGCAGGAATAATGGGCTAAAAGAATATCACTTGCAGGGATTGTCTTGTATACTAATTTCTAGATGAAAAGTAGAGTTTTATAAACAAACTCCCAATACTTTCCCTTGCAAGATGTGAATCCCTTGCATGCCTATTAAGAAAGCTAATCCGTTGCTGAATTGTTGAGTGCCAGAATTCCAAATTTTAACTGATGAGTTATAGAAACATATTGGAGTTTTAATGATTTGTTGAACTAAATTCAGGTCATACAAATTCCTTAATAAAGGAATATTCCAACTGAGTTGAGACCCACAAATCTAACCTACCAAATTAGCTATTGTGGAGAAATAAAGGGTTTTGGTAGTAGAAGGGTTAAAAGAAGACTACCAAAGTTTATGAGTGATTAGAATAGAGGCTCCATTTCCAACTTGCCGTTTGAGTTTATCAATGACAAGATCAAGCGAAACAAAGATACCCTTCTAAAATCATGAAGTAATGTAAAGCTTCTTCAAGAAGAAACATTTTGAGAATTCACTTACTTTAACTTTTCAATACACACATTCTAAGACTAAAAAATATGATAGAATATAACAATTATTATATAAATGTTAATGTGCATATAGTGAATGATTTTTTCAATAAAATAATTTTTTAACCAACCGTAGATAGTTCTAGTAAAAGTAGCTGATCTCTCACAATATGATAAACTAATATTTAGATCCCCACTGTGGTATTTACATTTAGTACTCGATCATGCTTTGAACAGATTGTTTTACCTCTCACAACTAAATTACTATACATGTAAAAGTTAGAAATTAAACCTCCAACCACTTGCTTAAGTGACGAGAGGCTTTATCATTCACATTAACTTTAGTTGGTTAAAGAAAATTGTCTTCAATAAAACACTTGTGAGTATAAAAAAATAAAATAATTTTTTATTTATATTTTTAATATGTATATGGTAAAAAATTCTAAAATTAAACAAGTTATTGTTTATATTTTTTATATGCACTGGATAATAAATTTTAAACAACGATAGTATTGTAAAGTTTAATTTATGCGACAATAACACATCTTGACATGACAAACTGTTTTTTATATTTTTAACGTACGTGGGCAACAAATTTTAAAATAATTAATGTGGGAATAGAATAATTTGTTGTTTATAGAATAAAATAAATTGTTTATTTTTTATTACTCTCACAAGTGTACTTCTATTAGAAGCAACACTGCTTGAAACACAATTAAATATTAAATATAAATATTTCTCCCATCAGGCATTTGAAGTTTGGTTTGTCATATTATGAGGCGCTAGCTAAATCCATTAATTGAAATGGATTGGTTGTAGCTCCTAACATTGAGCTTGTCTATATCTATCCTTTGCTTTGTTTTGAACTTCTTTTACTTGCTAATTACAATTAGTTTACACCCCCCATGCATTACATAGGAAATCCATGCTTTACGGTTATTAACAATGGAGCAATAATTACATTAGATTTACAGTTACTTGGATTAATTAAAATATTAAATTATTACATTAGATTTACATCTGTGCTTGTACGAATTATATGGGAAAATAATAACATTATTATAAATTAGATGAAAAATTGAAATGTGCAAGAACAGTTTTTTTATTATGATGATGCAAATGTAACTCAAAATGCTTGTAAACATGAAAATAAAAAAACAATTAACAATATTTGCTCATCCCAATGCTCAAAGATTTAATCAAATTTTCAAATCACGTTCTTAACTGAGTCTTTTAACAAAGTAAATTTTGAATCCCACTCATCTCCCGAAAAAAAAAAAAAACAAATAAAGGACATGTCCATTTTAAATAATAGATAAAATAATAAAAAGATCAAACAACAAAATCTATGAATAAGTTCTTTCTCATTAGTGATTCAAAATTTTATCCATTGATAATATTAAAATATAAAAAATTAAAAAATTATTACAGTTAGTAGAATTATTCCTAAAATAATGCGCCTCATGCACCATTAGTTGGCTTTTCGTTTAGAAATGCCGATCTTTATTTTACAAATGAATGTAACAATAAATCCTTTCTTTTAGAGAAAATAATGTCTGTTTAATATGTTTTTCATTTTTCATTTTTTTGTGGTAAGCAACGGGGCCAAAGTGCCCAAACTTTATTTCACTAGTAGTAATACTAGGGTCAAAGTGCCCCTTACATCTCAATAAATCCGCTCAATGAGACCTCTAGGAGGATCTGAATAACTCTACAACCATACTCGTCTTAAACCTGATTTAACATTCACTCCCAATGCGATGCACTAGGACATAAACAGGTATCTAAATCATATTATTATACTTACAATGCCCCTGAAGAAAGTCAAGGAACTAAATTTTAAAAAGAGCTTCTTTAGATTAACCAAAAAACAAAAAGGGAGAAATTACAAAAAAGTTCTTAAGACATATATCATTTCCTTCAAGCCTAAAAAGATCGAGAATGGAGCTTACTTTAGGTCTGAAAAAAAGAAAACAAAAACCCTTTATCAGCCTCCATCTCCTGTCAAAAGAGATGGTGGTTGATCTAGGATTTCAAAATTAGTATCTAAGCCATGAGTAATTTGCAAGGAGGCGAGCATGGTTACTCTCCTCCCTGTGTGTGTTTTAACAGCACATGCCAATCTTGATGATACAAGTATCTAGCTTCCTCTATGATGTCAATGAAAGGATCTTGATTACATGCGCGTTGGCCCCTTTGAGACCACAAAAGGGTCTAAAGAAATGTAATGCATGCCTTAAAATACATCGCTTTTGCAGATAAGGTATAACTTATGTACTTAAAGTTATATATTTAATATACTTATATCCACCTAAATCATGACAAGTAAATCTTAATATGTTAATAAAATTAATAACACGAGTATATTATAAAATGAATAATCTATAAAAGATCCACAAATCAAATACAAGCACATTAAATATATAAGAGTAAATATATAAGTTTTTTGCGAATATACCCCCAACAAAAACAAGAAAATAAAAACAACACTTTGGTTTCTTTGGGATGGACAGGGAACTTTGAGTTAATATTATTTTCTTGAAAAAGAAGAGACAATTACTCAGTTCCACCATAAGCTCCTCGCTTTACTCCATAAAAAGAGCGGCACCCAATTGTAAAACATGAATCAGTGCCAACGAAAGGCGGAAACAAAAGCAAAAACCATACATAATAAAGTTATTGTGCAGGGTAATAAACCATATAGAACTTGAAAAGATGGGGTGGCGCCTAATCTTCAGACCCTATACAAGTTGTTATGCACCCTACAAATTGGCCAAGAAGAAGACAATTTGATGGCAACGGATTTCAAGGGATAAGAAGATATCAGTTGAAACGAGAAGCAAAATCTTACGTGCTGAACAGTATAAAATCAATTTGATGGTAATATTGAATATTGACACACCTCATTCTTCTCTTTTCTCAAGTGTATGAAAGGAACATCAACACATATTGGCTTATAATATCAACCACTGAGTACAATTTCTAATGATTATTTATAGGGGTTCAATTGAAATTTAAATCCAATTATTAATGTTCAACACGTAGTACTTTCCATGCATGAGTTAAATTCAGCAATATTGAACTCCTCCAATTGATTACCAATGCATAAACATCCTCGATCTCCTTCATTCTAAAGCATCATCATGCCAAGAACACAAATTCAAAACTAACAATTTGGAGATTAAACCAACACAAATTCAAAACTAACAATTTGGAGATTAAACCATTAAAGAAGTACTGATGATGTACAGCAAGTTCTTAACTCATATTTTTGTTAAATAAAAAACGCTTTAGAAAAAGGCACAAATGCAATGTTGACCAATTACCTTTGTAAACATAAGGTAGAGTTGAGACACTTTGGTTGCTTCTGGAGTATGAAAACACTGCAACACTGCTCCAGAAGAACTTCTATCTGTAAAAAAATTGATTGTTATTTAGAGGGTAGATTTATAGGCATCAACCCAAAAAGAATATGAAAATCTTTGACAGCCCACAAGCAATCTGGATATCACGTTGCTTCCTAACTTGTATTAATTAATAATGATTATTTTAAAATGGAAAAAGTATCAAAATATGAAAGAATATTACACAACTGAAACTCATGCACATTTTTGTGAAGGAAAAGTAGCAGTCAATAAACTCACTTTTCAAAATTTTTCAGCAACCAGACTAAGCATACAATCTTTTTTTTTTTCTTTTTTGGGACGAGGGAGACACAGGCAGACAGTTTTATTTTTTGCCTTCTGATCAGCACATGAGAGCTGTCCAACCTTTGCTCTGCTAACATGAGGCCACAAAGTACTAGCATGACTCCTTCCACCTCTTGGTCGCATGACCTTCTAAATGAGGATTGCACAGTGACAGTATGCCAAAACAATTCCAAAAAATTTTCAGGGCACACTATATATGAGAATAAATACATCCAAGAATAAAATGATTTGCCGCAATAAGGTGGCCAATAGAGAACTTCCAAAGAAGCAACTGATTGGCATTATGTCAAGATACTAGTACAAGGACATACTCTGAGGCCTGGAATTATGCTTCCAGCAAATTTTTTTTTTAACCTATCACAAGGAGAAACCTCCTTACTCCTTTCCATTCAAGTTACCCTAACAGGTGGCACAAGCTAGACAAGGAATTTCATGTTATTATTTCCCTCGCAAACTTGCACTCTTGCGTTTCTCACCAAGCGCATATCGTCTCGCCAAAGCAGGATTGTAGAATTTTCTCATATGATCTGAGAGCCTATGAATGAATTGGAGATTACCAATTACAGAAAGATGCATCAAAATACTATCAAACTTCCTAAATGGCAATTTTATTCCCTTGTTTATAACTTCTTCCAAGAGAAAACAAGCATCTTCCACCTTATCGTACCTAAACAACCCATCAATCATCACACAGTATGAATCTCTATCTGGTGCACAACCCCTCTTGGTCATTTCATGCCAAGTCTCAAATGCCGCATCGGGATCACCCATCTTAAAAAACATTGAAGTCAGCATATTATAAGTCTGGACACTGGGAAGACAGCCTAAATCAATCATGTTTCCATAAAGTCTAAGTGCTTCATCAGACTTCTTATTGTCACAAAGGACCTTGAGAAAACAATTGTAAGTTACTATATCAGGTGGATAACCTTTGTTTCCCATCTCCTCCAAAAATTTGTAAGCTAATTCTATCTTTCCAAACAAACTCATTCCTTGAATTATATCCTTGTATGTTGAGACATCAGGGAGGCAACCACTACCAATCATACACTCCAGAAGTTTAAAGCAATCCTCCATTCTATCATTTTGAACAAGAGCAACAATAATGATTGCATATGTCTTGGCAGTGGGAGAAGATATGGTAGAACCTTTTGTTCTCATGAACTCAAAAAGTTCTAAAGCCTCATTTAGCATGCCTTCTTTGCAGAAGGTATCAATGGCAGTATTGTATGTAAAATTGTCAGGTATATGACCGCATTGGATCATGTCTTCCAGCACTTTCATTCCTCTCGTTGGGTTTCTAACTCTGCACCACCCAAAAAACAATATGTTATATGTATCTGCATTGGGCTTAATTTTGCTTTGCACTTTCTTAAAGAGACCTTCAGCTTCCTCAGCCAGGCTACACTTACAAAGAGCATCCAATAGCAGGTTAAATGCATTTATTTCTGGCTGAGTTTTTACTCTTATCCTCTTCTTCTTCGCAAACTTCTGCACATGAGTTAAATATTTTTCAGTGTATTTTCTCAAAATAGTCAAAAGAACTTCAACCGGGACCACGTTCTTGTTATGCCTCTTCATATAGTCCAACATGTCACAAACTATTCGAAACTGTCTTACTTTGTATCTTGTACTAGATAGGATATCTATCATATCATTATAAGCACAAAACTCATGGGAATAATTCTCTTGATGGCCAGCCCATGTGAAAAATCTAAATGCCATCTTTTCTTCAAAATGAAGCCTCTTCAAGATCCCAGTAACCAAAGGAGTTGACAATGGTATTCCAAGTTGGTCAAGAGCTTTCTCCGTGTTGTTATGTCCAATGGATTTATCCATTATTGTGCTGTATATCTTTTCTATATCACTTTCTAAGCGGTGGTCCTCAACATTACTAGAATCAAGACTCCGACCCGTAGGAATAGCTTCTGAACAATACAATCGCATAGAAATACCATGTGTAACAAACAAATTCATGGGCAATGAAGATTTAATGAAGCGCATACAGGAACAAGAAGCCACTTGTATTAACATATGGTGATAAGTAGAGTATCTAGAGAAGTACATGGTTGGTGATTGAAGCAAAGTTACATTGTGGGATGGACCTTGACTTCTGAAGATATAATCAAAAGCACACAATGAGGAAAAACGAAATTTTAAGGAATATATGTACCTATCAAATCTCCCCATCTTCTTCCAAGATGAAATTGAAGGCACCGAACTCTTGGACGAAGAATATAAACTAAGGCAATTCAAGAATCAGAAAAAATGAACAATTTTTGGTAGCAAAGGAAGGTGGTCAACTGCTCAGAAAGAAAAGTAGAGGTAGTAATACACTGCCATGGACGCTGCAGCTTCAAACAATCAGATTCAGAACCCAATCTACCTAGCTTTGCCTAGTTTTGGTCAGGAAGAGAAGGGACGCCAGCAAATCCAGGCTATGGGTAGAACCAACACAACTTAACCCAACCCGTAAAACAGGGCAGCCAAGCATGCTGCGACTCTGATGACAAAGAGCATTTACATTACAGCTGGTAATTCAGCCGGCAGTATTCAAGCCCAACTCAATTCAAACCAGTTTATTCAGCCTGGACACAGAGCCTATATTTTGGAGGTTTATAATTTTTTTTTTTATAACTAAAAACAAATCAATTTTGAGTGAGCCAAGCACAAGACCAAGACCGAGACCGAGAAAGCTTCCCCTTCAAATTTCTTCCAAGCAAAAAGACCTTTAGATTTCACAAAACCCTCATCAACAATAGCTTGAAAGAGCTCATGCACTTTTTCAGGTTAGGTCTGTACCAGAGCTGTTCACGCAATAATTCAAAAACCTGCAACCACGAGAACATTCATTAATATTGAAAACTCAGATTCTCTTTCACAAGGGAGACATTCAAGAAAAAGCAAAAGGTGACATATACAGATGCACAAACCATTACAAACTTGTATTTCAGAAATTGTATTTGAATTTATTCCCCAATTAAGATTGTTTAGAAAATGAAAAGCCTATTTTCACTGCAGATAGGTGCGTTTTCAATTCATCCTCCACAAATGTGCATGGAAAACATTCACCGCTATATTTCAGCAATTATTTGTGGTATTAACAATTCAAACTTACGTTTCTTTTTCACTTATTTTCCCTCTCTAGACATTCAATACTTCTTTCCATTTTGCCTTCCTAAAATATCCTGAATCTCCTTACAGTTATTCATAATTTTCAACTTATATGAGCATTCTTTATAAATCATTAAAAAGGAACAAGCAGAAAGAATTCAGATAAGCACAAGCAAAACATAGCACTCCTACATTCAATCAAGGGCGTTTTCTTCTTGATATATCATTAAATGGAAATCCTTCGCCATTCTGTTGTTGTAAAATAAAAGAATTGAACTGAACCTAAATCCTAAAGAGCAAGCATATCATTCAAACCCTCATGCAGTTTTTTTCTTTGGTGTGGTTCTCCATCCATCAAAGCCTGTTAAACATCACAGTGTAAAGGTTACAAGTGCATATATCTTAATGCTCGGTAAGAATATATTATAAATCAAAACTCAAGTTATAGTAGAAAGCATTATGTTCATGATGCAACCTGCATTTCTAGTGATCCAAAATCAGAGTCTTTCATAATTTTGTCATTAAAAAAGCTAGCAAATGATCTGTGAAAAAGTGACAATTCCATAGTGGATGTTTTCTTGGAAGAAAAAAGAAAAAGAAAATAAACGAGTTCATTCAGTTTGCTTGTAATGTTAAAATATGAATCAAAATTCACTTCAACTATCATACAAAGTTGAAGTACTCACCAAATGGTGGCAATGGAATTTCTCAATTATTCCCATATAAGACTGCGCTTGTAAATCTGGAAAAAGAAAAAACCCAATATCAGTGCAAACCAAACAGAAAAATAAAATAAGTAGAGCAGAATAATCACAGCCGCTAGAGACCGTGTGTTGATGAAGAAGAGCCAAACTCAGAAACACTCAATTTCAGACCTCCAATGTAGAGGTCAGTCGCCGATTTTTGGGGGGTGGGGGAAGCAACCAGCCAACCACAGAGAAGAAAGGAAGGTTTAGTGTGAAACACTCACAGAGGCAGAGGCATGGGGAGGAAAGGAATGAAGCAGCTGCAGAATTTGAACAGTAGTGAACAAAAACAAAGGAGGAGGCAAGCCTTGCGAGCTTGACAGAGGCAGCAAAGAGAATAGATTAGAGGGCTAAAGATTTGCTTCTTCAACCTTGACAAGGAAGAACGATCTTAGAGCAACCCTAGGGTTTAGATCTCCATCCCCTGGCTTTGCTTCTTGAGGAAATAGAGCATGAGAGTTGAGGTATGAATTGACGTTTACATGGCTTGAGGTTGTTATCAGCTTTTATTTAAAACTGGAAAGAATGCCGGGGGAGTTTTTTCTTGATCTGAAAAAATAACGTTGAGCCCAACACATAAGCCATCACTATTCATTGAGCTGAACCCACAAACCGTTTTTATTCATTGAGCTGACATTATTTGAGCCAGTAATTCAAGTAGAGTGGGCTTAATTCGAGCCGAGTTTATTTGGATTGAGCTCAAAATACCCGTACTTATAGAAAAGCTCATATAGCCAGGCCCGACTATAACATTTTTGCGCTTTGGGCTTATTCAGGCAAGCCCAAATACCCGAAACTTTTTAAAAATATTTCCATCTCTTTTTGAACAAATTTCAATTTTTAATTTAAAAATTAAATTTTTTTTTCAAACAATATAAACACACTCTAAAATAGTAAAATACATGTGATAAATCATAAAAATTACATCACTATTAATAGCAAAATTTGGAAAGTTAATTACTTAATTTAATAATGAAGTCATGCTGCTCATAAAGCCTACAAAGGTTCAAACAACTTGAAGTGAGAGTTTAATAGTACATCATTACAAAGAAGCCTACAAATCAAGCTTGCATTGACTTGCAAAGCTAGTCTCTCTTTCAATTTCTCCTGCATATTCTCATTTGCAGAGACCTTGTCTAAAGTGATAAAAAATACTTTTTTATTCATCCCCCATTCCACCAAACAATCATACACTTTTCTAGCCGATTCTACCTTAAAATGTGGAGGTTCCATATGACAAAAAGAAAGTATTTTACTATTTAATGTTTTTTTTTCAAACAATATAAACACACTCTAAAATAGTAAAATACATGTGATAAATCATAAAAATTACATCACTATTAATAGCAAAATTTGGAAAGTTAATTACTTAATTTAATAATGAAGTCATGCTGCTCATAAAGCCTACAAAGGTTCAAACAACTTGAAGTGAGAGTTTAATAGTACATCATTACAAAGAAGCCTACAAATCAAGCTTGCATTGACTTGCAAAGCTAGTCTCTCTTTCAATTTCTCCTGCATTTTCTCATTTGCAGAGACCTTGTCTAAAGTGATAAAAAATACTTTTTATTCATCCCCCATTCCACCAAACAATCATACACTTTTCTAGCCAATTCTACCTTAAAATGTGGAGGTTCCATATGACAAAAAGAAAGTATTTTACTATTTAATGTTCAATATTCATCAACAAAATGAGCAGTCAAACATGAATAACCTTTAGAGATCACATCAGTTCAATAATCAGATGTCAAAGAAATTCTTCCAATACTATTTAACAACTTTTGTTTCAAGGCTTCTTTGTGCCCATGATAGACTTTCATGATCACTAACTGCTATTTTTCAAGTAATGCATTTCATACTATGATTCAAGACTATAGAATAGTGCTTAAACCATTTATATTCAACAATGTAATAAAGTAAATCATGTTAAATTATCATCAAAGACAGACTCTCGAACCTCCTTTTCATCAAGTTTCCCAGACCTTAATTTTCCTTCTTTATTCTTCATCATTAACCCAATATTATGATACTTAGCTAGTTGTGGACAATTTTTAGCATGCCGTGCTAGATGATATGTGCCATTAGCCCTAGATCCTGCCAAATCTTCATTGCAACCGTTATATGTAGTCTTTGTTTTCCCATCAACTATAACTTTAGAAAAAGACTTCCAAACATCAGACGTGCAAGTTTTGACTTTTTTAGCTAAAAGAAGTTGCTCCCCTTCTTGTTCAGAAGTTGTTCTTTTACCAGAACTTACAGGACAAACTGATTTTTCCTTATTCTTTTGAGATGTAGATGCAGAAGACACAGCATTACCCACGTTATTTGCATGCAAATTATCATTCACCAAATTACTAGTAGTATCCACATTTTCACTACTAGAACCCCCAATTTCAATATGTTTCTTTTGACAAGAAGACATTTTTTACTGCACGCAATGGGGCACACAAGTAAAATCGATTAGCCACTAAACTAGACAAGTTAAAGAGCATGAAAAGAAAACATTTCAGCAGCAGCAGATTTCAATAGAGTTAAAAATTAAAATTTCAGCAGCATTAGACAAGTTGAAGTTGAACAAGGTGCACGAAATGAATCAACAGCAGCAGACAAGTTGAACAAAAAGCACCAAATGAACCAAAAAATTCCCAGCAGATAAAATCGATTATAACTTCAGATAAAATCGAAAAAATTATAAAATAACGAAGACCCAACTTACAGGAATGCAAGGGTCACAGATGGTGTAGGTCAGGAGGTGAGTCTGGAATCTGGACCTGAGCTCAAGCGAAGAAAGAACAGAAGAAGAAGGACAAGACTGGAAGAATGAAGATCTTTCGGCGAGGCGTGCGACGCGAGCGAGAAGAGGACGATCAGATCCAGAGAATGGAAAGGTTTTCGACGCGAGCCTTAACTACTGAGCGCGAGGCCGTAAGCGTCGACCGTCGCTGTTTTCCGAGCAGAGAATACGTTCGCCATTGCCGTTGCCGTTGCCGAAGAAAGAAGGAGAAGAAAACGGACGAGAAGGCGTGAAGCAAAGGCACAGTTGCGCAGAGGCGAGAGAAGCGTTTGGTCTGGAGCCGTGCGCGCGCGAGAGCAAAACCTAGCAAGTCAATTTACTTAATTCAATTTTTTCATATGAAAAGAAAAATTAAAATTACAGAATTTAAAAAAACAAACGGTACTCAATTTTTCTAAAGAAAAAATGATAAAAAAATTTATTTAAATTATATAAATGATAAATTGATCCAAGAAATAATATAATTTCTCTAGAGTCTCATGAATTTTTTTTTGTCATTAGAAAATTAAAAAAAATCCAAATTGCCCTCAAATAAAATAAAAATCCCTAGAGTTACGGATAACTATTGAATTATTGTGAATTTAAAAATAAAAGTTGTTAATATAGGAATAAAAGTTGTAAATGAAAAGTTACAAATTTTCAACACCTGATACATATCAGGACTTGCATATGCGGAGTTGCGAATGACTATTGAATTATTGCAAATTTAAAAACAAAAATTGTTGGTATAAAAATAAAAGTTGTAAATGAAAAGTTACGAATTTTCAACATCTTATGTATATCAAAACCTTTAGATGTGGAGTTGCGAATGACTATTAAATTGTTGTGAATTTAAAAATAAAAATTATTAATATAGAAACAAAAGTAGTGAATGAAAAGTTGTAAATTTTCAATACCTGATACATATCAGGACTTGTAGGTCAGGACTTGAAAATAGCTATTAAATTGTTGCAAATTTAGAAATAAAAGTTGTGAATGAAAAGTTATAAATTTTTTTTAATATGAATAAAGGGAAAAAAATGTCATTTCTTATAATTCCCTAATGACAGAAATATTCCTTAGGACTCCAAAAAAATTATGCCATTTTATAAGACCAATCTGTCATTTAAATAATTTAAATGAATTTTTTATCATTTTTCCTTTTTTCAAATTATAAAAATTAAAAATATTAAAAAAATAGAATCTGACAAATTTATAAAAATTGATGAATGGATTTTTTTTCTTTTTAAAATGTGAAACTAAGTTATAAAATTTTTCAAATTTATTTAAATTTAGATTAAATTACCTTTTTTTCAAAAGACTCACGTGCTTTTATCAGTTCATGGGGTGATGATTGATCAGCAATGGCCCACCAACACCAACTTACATTATTTTCAGGGACTGTAGGCTTTAAAATAGTAAAAAATTTCACTTTGAATCTAATACATTATGATATTGCATAGCAGATCCAAAGCCCTTATTGCAATCTTTATTGGAAGCAAAAGTACAATTGTACTCTTATATAATTTGAAAACTCAGAACATATACAACATAATATCCATAGATGCACAACAAGATGTCTATGCATGTCTAATTAATCTGTTGGTTAAAATATACATCACATAGAGTATGGACAACAAAATGTACTTGAAAGCACAATATGATGTTTATAAATTCTCAACACAATGTCTATGTATATCCAGTTGATCTATAGATTAATTAAAATAAAGTCACATAAAGCATGTACAATATAATATTCATGGATACACAAGATGACGTGCATGAATTATCAATACAATGTTTATGGGCGTCCATGCATGGATATTTAGTTGAGAATGTATGAATATTGTGTTGTGCATTCATGGACATTGTGTTGTGTATCCATAAACGTTGTGTTACATATTGTGTATGTCACTTGTACATTTTATTAAACCTACTAATCAATTAGCCATGCATGGATATTGTGTTGTACATTCATGGACATTGTGTTATGCATGATCTGAGTTTTCAAATTACATAAGGACAAAATTATACTTTCACTCTTAAAAAAATTACAACAAGAGCCCTTGGGCTTATAATATAATAACAAAATATATTGAGCCTGCAGTGTAATTTTTTTTTTTCGCAACCTGCAATGTGATTCTCGCTTGTTTTTACGCTCCTTTTATTTTCTCTTCTTTTCTTTGTTTGTCCTTTTTTATTATATATAATCATGTGGTCACGTAAAAAGTATGCAACAGGATAAATGTAAGGTGAAATGATAAATCAATAATTTTTTTGTTAGGTAACGTTTGTATAGATTTAAATTTATTTTAATTTAAAATTTTATATTTAAAATTCATTATTTAAGTAATTAAAAAATTTTAAAGGTAGAAAATAGATGGGCTAATATTTGGAGTAGAAATAAAATTTTGAAAATGATAAACTAAACTCTATTTTTCAATTGGTCAAAGATAAGGATGAGAAATGAGATAAATGTTAGAGTAACAGAGGCACTGATATAAGAACGTGAAAAAAAAAAACCAGAAGGTTAGAACAATTAAATTTCAAATAAATTTAAAATTATAAAAAATTTATAATAAAACATGGTGTAATGTCCTTCTTGACATTATCAATATTCACTACACAATCACAATAAATAATGACAATTAGGAGCTATAGATTACTCCTAAACTCGTAGTAAATACAGAAGGATTAAAGCAAATAGTTACAATAATTTGAAATACTTGGGATCCTATGAAAACCATCCAAATAGGTAGTTTGAGCTTAAACTTAATGATTTATAAAGATATGAGAAGCATGAAAAAGTTTGGGAAGCAAAACACTTGTAAATAAAGCTAAAATGTCATTTTTGTGCAATCTGGTAATTATGCCGCGGCATGTGACCACGACATATGACTGCAGCATAAGGCATAGAAAGCTCAATTTGGTTGCCATACCATATGCTACGGTATACACAATTTATGCCGCAGTGTACATGTCAAACAACAGTTTTGTTATCATGACAACTTTTCGGGTGAACTTCTGATATGCGCCATTTTTGCATCTAACATCCGATTGAAGTGATTCAAGTGCCCATGCGAAACTTATTCGATAAGCTAAGTATGGTACAAGTTTCATTACGATCTGATGTCATATGTGAAATTTAAACACCCGGATGCAAAAGTGAGATTTTAAAACGATTTTCAAGTATCCAAGTACTTAAAACTCAAAACATATACTATTAACCCATTTTAAGGCTTGAACCAAGTCCAATGGATCAATATACACTTGATTGAGCATTTAACCACACAATAACACACTAAACACAAAATTTTTCTGCTTAAGGCTGGTTTCACCCATTATGACTGTTCGTCTGTGAACAACAAATTACCAAGTATGTCAGTGACACTGAGTCTTAATTGATAATAAAAGGGTCTCGATCTCCCTTATAATAATTTACTCGAATGTAAAAGATACGTAAGACTTGGTAGAACAAGTATTTTTGATTATTACTGAAGTGTAAAATGATTACAAGTCTAAATTGGTGGTTAAGCTAATTGATAAACCTAAAAATTATTGGTACAAAATATGAGTCTTTTAAGTGTTGACTATTATCTTCTTCTATGCTTTAGTACTCTATTTATAGTGACAGAGTGATGGCAGCCTCTCCCTTAGAACCTAAAATGTTCCTTTGAAGAATCAAGAATCCCACGAGACTTAAAGCATAATCTTTACTCACTATCTCCCATTTTTTGTAACCATCCCGTCTCACCGAGATATTTAGGCAAGATGATGCTACTCTCGTGAGATACAGGATCATTTGAGATCATGTCTTTATGTACCAATGGTCTAGGGTTTGCAACTAGCGGGATTTCGATTTGCTCATCCTATCGTAGCTTTCCATTGAGCTCGAGGCTAGCCCCTTTATTCAGATTTTTGATTGGGCCTGACTCCTCAATTACTTAGTCCATATGGCTTTATGACCTACCCAATGCTTTGGTAAGCAACGTTTCACATTTAGCCCAAATAATACCCCCCGCTTGCTAATGGCTGATAACGTAGGCCACGTGGCACATTTGAAAAAACTAAAATGTCGCTTCATCTCTGAGCGCCCTTTATTAATTTAAACTTACTTCTTCTTCTTTTTTTGTCATTCCCCTTGCCCTTCTTGCCTTTTCTTGTTGTTTAAGGTTTTGCTTTCCTCTCTTCATTCTTTCCTTTGCTTAATAATGGCTTCCTCTTCTACTGCCACCACTTCTATTGCTGCTCTCTTTAATGCTTTTATTGAAATTTTACCTAACTCTCTAGTCACAATCTGGAATCTCATTGCTTTACTAGGAGGATTGATGACGATACGTATTTTGTTGAACTCATATTTTCTCTGGATTAGGCTCTTAATCTGATGCCTTTCTATTTCTGTTTCAGGAGGATTCATCTTTCCATGACTCTGTTACCTTTTATTATGCTTCTTACTTTTTATTTGGTCTTTATATTTTTAGGATAAAAATACTAACTATTTTCTAACTTTCCAGTACCTCTCCCTAAAGCTTTCAAATTGCTAACAAGAGTGACATCGAGTATTTGACCATCTCTTTTGACCTCTCTATAGTGACCGCTCCTACCTAGCCAAATCCACGGCCATTAACCTCAATCCGCAACCTAATTTTAACCCGAATGACTTTAGCCTTCATTGAATTGTCTTGTCAGTAGCTTCAAAACTGGCCCTGGCTCCCCACGCTTAGTCCAACTAGGTGAAGCGCTTGAGACAGACCTACGACCAACAGTGAAAAGAGATAGGTATTTATGACCTAATCCAACTTTCATTGGCTAACGTTGACATCCCAATCAATCTCCTGCTAGCCGTTCTAAGTTCTTGGGTACTCGGATGTAACGCCTTCATCTTTGAGTTGAGCCCTATGTTGATTATGATGTGGGATGTGTTTATGTATTTGGAGCTACTGATCATCGAGGAGGAGAATTTTTACACTATCCCTAAAAGGCATGACTCTTATGTCACCCTTTCTGTTGACCTAGAGAACAAGATTAAAAGGTGTTGGCTCTTATACAAAAATCATTGAGTTGTTCTCTAAAAAGCCAACTGACGAGCCCATCACTCCCACAGAGCATCTAGTCTTCATTTGGATCTTATTGAGCTAATGGATCTTGGTCCCTAGGGAGGAAAGCCCGTGCAATTGCATTTGCAGATCGCTCAGTCCCTTATTTGTGGCAACCAACTAGCCTTAGAGATCATGTTATTATGCTGTCTGTATGATGACATGAGGGAGTCCCTGATGAAGAAGCCCTTCAGTAACTTTCACGGTCCAATCTAGTTC